TCTCTCAAAGACATCCTCTTCTTTCTCCAGGGCCTTCTTGAGCGCTATGGATTGGAACTGACCCATTGATACTCCACTGCGCGTGTTTCTCTCTACAATGCAAATGGTTGGTTGCTGCAAAAATCCAGCCACACCCTAATTCTATAAATAGGTGTGGCTTAAGTATACTAAGGCCACTTCAAGTAAATTCCTTGTTTCTGCTTTCATAGGCGGGTCCCAAGCGGGCGGGCGGGCGGGTTTATTAATATTAATATTAATTTTTGATTATTGTTCAAATATATTCTTTTCTCATTGTTTGATCATTACAAAACAGTTTAAACAAAAAGATCAATAATTTGCCATTATAAGCAATAGTAATAAGGAAAAAAAGAGATGAAAAAACTAGAAGAGGAGGACAAAAGCATGAAAAGAATACAATAATAATTTGACAAACTATTTCACAAAAAATTAACGTCCTGCCTTTACAAGTATAGCTGGCTTATGACTACAATTATCACACATTGGATACTCATTTTCCTTTGTAAACGGTTGTTCTGTGGCACAATAAACACAAATAGGAGTGTTCTTTGCTGAGTAATACAACCGTTCTATTGGGTCATTGCAATCATGGTCTCGTATTTCGACATTCTTATATACTTCAGGTAACTCTAGGTCACTCAATGCAGCACCACAGGAATAATCATTCTCATTGAGGATTAACTCTAAATTTGCACGATCAGCAGAAGACATCTTATAGCGAGAAAATACTAGTCTCCACATATTGCATTCACTACACTGTACCATTAAATTTGCATTCTTAACATGCTGTATGGTTGCATAAAAATGAAGCTTATGTTTCTTCTTTATTTGCTTTAGACTTTTAAAAGTAGGACGATGTTCTTCAGTAGTGACCATATTAAATGCCTCAGAGAATGGATAATAGTGGTCATCATCCATTGGAGTAGGGTGAGGAATATGCTTTAAATCATTAAAAGTTGCTCGTGGCAAACGTGGTGGCTTACAAATAGTACATTCCAAGTTTCCACATTTGAGAATATCGAAGGTATAATGGCTAGCTTGACAGCAGTGCCTCAGGAAATCACATATACTTGGATGTTGGTTAATGGTCTCCTTCCGAAATATGGATCCTTCCTCTATTGTAGAATCCAATGCAAAAAGACAAGTCCAGAATTCACTTATTTCTCTCTCAGATGCTGACTCATAAACTTGAAAAGCTTCGTCATGAAGCATTAAACGTGTAAATAATGAATGTAGAGTACTTTTGACAGGTGACAAAGATTGCTTGACATCTTCCTTCCTCTCAAATAAACGCTGTCTTAAATCAGTCAGACTACTACATTTAGACACTTCCTTTTCAAATTCATCTGACATTTTAGACCTTGCCAATCCTACACATTGTAGTCCCAAATTGATTATGGACATAATTCTCTCAACGGGGTTGCGCCACGAGTGATAAGGGGCAGTGCGCCCTACGCAAAGGTAGTCTAGATCCAGATTTAAAAAGAGAGCAATGAGAGACAGCTGTACAGATAAGTAAGTTAGACGATGATCTGGACCTCCATCAGAATACACGAACAAAACTGGTTTATCAAATGATATTTGCTTCAATACAGAAAACAACTCGGTATGGTGCCTGAAAGGTGAAGAAGGCTCAAATATTAAGTCTTTTACACCAACATATACGGAGCCTACAATATAAAGATAAAAATGAATGATGAAACAAAACGCCATTGGTAGCTTAGACAAAAACTAAAAGAAACAATGTTTTATAGTACATGTATATGTACTACTAAAATAATTTGAATTAAAACTATGTTCTATGTAATGCATGCATATCAAAAAGAATATACATGTAGGTATTCTTTCCTAACCATTTTTGATAAAATATATATTTTTGAAATGTCAAAAAATTAGAATCAGCCCAAACTTATAGGTCATAAATATTTTAATAATAATTTGCTGACTAAAATACATGCCGTGATTGCATTGTTTTGTCCACTAATAAGGCCTTATTTTACACTCTGATCCCTCCAGTGGACCAGTGCACAAAACAATTATAGAAAATTATGAAGACTCAAATACAACACAAAAGCCATGTCATACCTGAATACCACGAATCTGATATCTGCTCAGGAATATTCAAAATGAAAATAACAGATGGCACCAACGAAAACTTGGTAAAATCATGGTCGCCAACACTTAGCACTTCATCACTTCTAACAATTACTCTTTTTCCTCGCTCAGCAGCTGCTACTGGGTAATTAGGTTCTCCAATTTTAACCTTATGTTTGTCGTCAAGACTAACAAATGCACAAATATCCCGCAGAGTTATAGAGTATTCTCTCATATACCTGTAGCATGCTGCAGCATAGTGTTGATCAGGATGATCGTGTCTCCACTGACGCTGCTGTACCATGAACTTTACTTTAAATTTGCCAGTATAATGAAGTGAGCTTCTAGCTGCTGCAGTCTTGGGCCAAAACTGTAAGCGCAACCACTCCAATGATGGTATGGGGGTGTTCTCTGGACAAAGAGATTTTACTTGATCACGAAAATCCCGAAGAGAAATAGCTCTAGCAAGGTGGGTAATCTGTCCATGACGACGATCATCAACTGCAACCGACACATTTTCATTAAGAAACCGTTCACAGTAATCCCAAAAAACATTAAATTGACTCTCTTTATTCCCATTATGGCAACGAAGGTCTGTTAGAATATCAGGATCCTCCATGTCAACTAGCTCTTGGATTCTCTTGTCTAGTTCTGCTTCCTCAGTAGTGGAAGAGGCAGAGTCATCACCTGTCAAAATTGTAAAGAAAATAAAATACATATTGTGTACATGTACTTACTACTGTATGAAATTGAATTTGGCAGTTTAACTTTGGGAACAACTTACTTTTAAAATCATTAATATTAACTCATAATTTTTAGGCTACAACTTACATTATGCACTTGAATAATAACCAACAAAATCAGAAAATTGTCAAAGAATAATAGTAAAAATATACACATTGATATCATTTATAATCGCATATACACTTTACATCAGGCATAAAAGCAATATATCTAAGCAATGCATTAATTTAAAGTGTAGCTATTCCTCTAATTAAAAAAATAGTTAAAAACTCACCAGTCAATTCTTTATAAAAGTATCGCAATATATGAGGCTTTACATTGGGAGAAATCCGACCAAACTTGTCGTACATAGCTCTTCTCATGGCTCTTGAGTGAAAAACAGGCAGTTCTGGTTTAATTCTTTCGACTACAGATTGACTACGCTCAAAATAAACATTTCGATCAATACCTGATTCTTGAGGAAGTCGCCACAGAAACTGTAAATTACAGATGCCTCCACCAGGGTTATAGATAAGAAGCATGGACAGTGAAGACAAGCCAGATGAAATCATAAAGTTTAAAAATCGATTCTTTCTTAATGAGTTCAGAGGCAAGAGATGAGTAATCGATAAATACTGATAAACTGCAAGGCTCTTAAGTAACTCATCAATAGGCTGAAGTGAAGTAGCGACTTCTTCCGTTGGTTCAATCAATTTCATATGCATATGTTCTGGTAGATCTCTCACAGGAGTCGGAGACCTATGATTAGCTTTGATCTTTTTATTTTTATCAATTAAATAGTCAGAATATGAAGCAAGACTCTCTACAAGATCACTGAATTGCTGCTTGATGTCCCTCCAGCAATTTCTTTCCCAATAACACTCAAGAAGTATTACTGAAAGATCAGTTGCAAACATACGTAGCTGGTCAGACGATAAATTTCTGGTCAACCTCTTCCGATGCTTCGATAACTCGGGGACATTGTATCCAATAA